AACTGGCTCTATCGGCAGTAAGTGCGTTCAAAGCATGCTGGTAAAAGACTCTAAGAACAATTCTACCCATTTTTTGGTGAATCCTTTAGGGAGGCTAGGGGATGCCAAGAGTAGTCGTGGCTGTCGATGGATAGGGTTGCGTCTTGTCAATTATAATTTATCTAACCTATCGGAAGATATAGGTTCTAGATCGACATCGCACAGTCAATTATGATATGAAATACTGCAATACTTTCCATTTATAAAAAAAGTCAAACTTCAAAATCATTTAATAATTAAAAGATTCGTACATTGAACTAATGTTATAAGCTAGTAATTTCATCTGTCGTCAGTGTTGAATCCTTTTATCACAATTTTAACAAGCCCTTCATGATCTTCGACGTCACAATACGGATCTAGTAGAAAGGGGAACAGACCCCTCTGTAGTCCGTTGTCATGGTAAACTCCTCTTTGTGAGAGGCTTCATGTCACCTTTTATAGAAAAACTTACCCAAATTCACTAGGTTCAATACAAAATATCTACTATATATTAATCTTACACTAGTTTCTTTTATTGTGATGAGAGAAGCGTGGCTGGTTCAGACACCTAACCGCTTGACTAGGAATCATGGGTGAGCTCAAGGTCCCAGTTACCAACAGCCGCCCAAATATCCCCAGAGGAGGGCTAGCAGCTTGAGAGCAGCTGTGTCGTGAGTATATCTATCGCATCTGAATCGCACTTACTCAGGATATCTGTCGAAAAACTCAACGGGCTGATTCTATGGGCTACTTCATGCGTGGCATACTTTCATGTCGAACTTATCGACGAATTTGACGATTACAATGACCTGTGCTTTGGTTGCTGCTACCAGTAGCATAACACTTAGCGGTGTGTGGACCCGTAGTGACATTTCGATGCTCACTGGCTCCGCCACGAGCCAGACTTAGAAATGTAGTCAGTTACGATGCTGTGCTACGCATGGCCACACTGAGCTACGTGGAACTACACTGCGCTACGCGGCGCTACAGCTTTCATAATTTTTCGCATGGGTTTGAAACCTAGATCATCATATGAAGATCTACATTCCTCATGTACCATGGCGCTCGAACAGCGATTCTGTAGAAATGAGATTCAATACTTTGGTCGAAGTCTGTATTCAGGTGGGTCGCGGCACCGTATGTCACACTCGTATACACATTTTGTAAAGTGTCACAGATTTATGAAGGGACATTTTATTTCGGTTGCAGATCATGAGATAATGTCTGCTGAGGATAAAAGCATTGCGATCGCTATCAGGGCCGATTCCACTTGTATTGTACCAGCGATTTTCACTAGTTTGTTAGTACATATGCTCCGTCAGCCATCCGATCTTCGCCCTATATGGCCTGCCCACTGCCACTTCAGCTTGCTAATCATATTATTATGCTATAAGAACAGAGTTTATGTGAGAGCGGAATTTCATGGATGCATCCAAGATGATACCTAGATTCTTAAGCTTCCTCGCCCCGTAGTTTTTGGCCTCACAGAGATCGGAGACCTTCCAGCGCCCTTCCATGGGCCCACCACCAAGTCACAATGGTGGTGCTTGATGCCCCTGCCGACGTGCTCCCCTAAGATTTCGGAGGTGGAGATCCGTGCGACCGTATCAAAGATGAGGAGAAGGGACGCGACACCCAGCCCTGATGGTATTTACGACTGGGTTTGGGATTTAGTCTTCGGTGCTCTGAGTGACCGGCTAGAACGGCTTTTCGAAGCATGCCTCCAGTCGACACGATTTTCGACTTAGTGGAAGAGGGGCAGACCCGTACTTTTGAGGAAAGAGGGGCGCCCGGCAGACTCACCCGCTGGGTACCGCCCCATCATGTTGCTGGACGGGGCTGGAAAATTGTTGGAGCGAGTTGTCGTCGTCCACATCGTCCAGCACCTGACTGGGACGGGTCCCGATCTATCGGCGGAACAGTACGGCTTCAGAGAGGGCCCTTCAACTATCGACGCGAGAGCACGCCTGCGTGCCCTCCCTGATGAAGCTGTCGCCCGGGGCTTTGGCGGTGTCCCTGGACATCGTCAATGCTTTCAACACCTTCAGTCCAACATAGTCGATGATCGCAGGGCCGCTCGAATATGACGGGGCCCCCGTGTACTTCCGCCCGCTGATCGGGTCATATTATTATCTTGGGGACAGGTGGCGGACAGGAAACGGCGGTGCGATGCTCCACTTTCCGGTCGAGCACGGTGTTTCACAGGTGTCGCTCCTTAGCCTGGAATGTTCGCTACGACTGGGTCGTGCGGGGCGCCCTTCACAGCCCTCTCCCGGGGGAATAGGCGTTGTGTGTTACGCGGACGACACGTTGATCGTGGCCCGTGGGAAAGACTACCATGAATCAGCCCGTATTGCCTGCGCAGGGGTGGCATTCGTCGTCGGTAAGATTCGATGGTTGGGTCTCGAGGTGGCACTCGAGAAATCCGAGGCCCTGCTGTTTTCCGAGACGGCGGACATAGAGTCGTCGAATACCGTCTCGACGACCCGTCGGTTGGGCGTCCTAGGGGAGGCCCGCGAGTTTGGTTGTAGTGTTGACTACGGGAATCCCCTACTCTCCCTGAGTTCTGACCCCGGGCGGAGATCAGATGTCGGGTGAGAGAGTACAAGGGGAGTCGTTTAGTAGGTAGGGCTCTAAAACAGAAGGCACTGACGATTAAGTATTACCAATGTGGTAGCAACGAAAATACGACCAAGCACCGTCGTGCACTGCTCCACGTGGCTGGAGCTACGTGTACACCATTTTTCCCAAGGAGGCGGCGAAACTAGAGAGGCTCATCCCTCGTCGCCGAGTCAGAAGCCGGAGAAGAAATTTCACCAGGTCCTTACCCCGCTAAAGGTTTCGGAGCAACCTGAGAGATCAAGGAAGCGTGACGCGCTGCATCATATCGGTTCGGGATTTTCGTACTACGTGACTGCAGTTCTACGGAATTATTTAGAAGAGAAACTGGTTTACTATGTACCGCTTTTGACCCGGCAGTCTAGTTTTAATCGACTGGGGTACTTCTGAATACCAACAGCACCGCCTGGAGCAATCTGGCGGGCTACCGTGCTGTGCCTCGACGACTCCGCCGGCTTGACGTCCTGAGGTGAGCTGCATGTCTGGTTATAGTGCGACGGTGGTAAACCCCCTCGAAAGTGAGAGTGCGGGAGAGTCACTTAGTGAGTAGACGCTTAACGTCTTCGCCATCGAGTCCCACATAGGGTGCGCCCACTGGACACGGAAACATACCTAGAGATTTGGTACATGGCCCAAACATTTTTTTACCCCTTTCTGCATACTCTACTCCTGCTTCTCGTCAACTTTTTATCTTAGTGTCTCACCGGCCTTCTCAGTCCAGCTTGTTCCATTCCAGATTCCACCTGACGGGTTTCCTAATCTAAATAGCGGGTTTTATATCTACATATTTTTATAGAAAGGCTTAACCTCGACGCTCACAATAGTTCTATATGCTTTTTTTTCCTACCTAAGCTGATAGCCTTGAGAGGATATATCAGCGTAACCTTAACTAGTAGGTGAGCTCACGGGGCTCAAACCGGAGTGTTGCTAACACTGATCACAGTAAGAGCAGTGCTTCGCAGAATCTACCACCGGATCGGAAACGCGACCCACTGAGAAGATCCGGCGAGAAACTCAGTGGGCTGTGTCTATGGGTTAATTCGCTCGTCGAGCCCTTCGTCGCAAGCGACGGGTTCGACGAGGACGGTGACCGGTGCTTCTATATGCGACGCCCTCGAAAGTCACCAGAAACCGCAAAGATCATTTCACAATTATTCATTTGCGGAAGGTGAGGTCCGTTTTTCCATAAAAGGGCAAAAATCTCCAGGTGGACAATACTGAGGCTAAGGCTCATCACATGGAACGTTTCCTGGAAACTATCCTGAGGATTCAGGAAACTATCTCCAGCGCTGCTGTTCCAGGAGCGAGATGATCACGTTGGCGTCTTAGTTGACCGCAAAGAAAAGGCTGTAGTACTTTAGATCTCCGTTTATTTTATGTTTTCAATTGGGTGTGGGGCTCCCATTTAATTTATGTCCCTCCCGGTAATTGCGGTTAAATATGGCCAAAGTTATTGCGAAAGGAATTCAGCGGACTCAATCATTAAATACACCGTAACGGATGAAAGAAGACGTTCAAAATTTTATGTTAAAGAAAGAATATTCAGAAAAGTCTGTTGAAACTTTTTAGGCTTTCAATTAGTACGTAGGTAACAGTGAAAATGGATTAACAAGCATGATACGGGCACGTCTAGAACACAAACAAAAAGTTAGATTTTGATGCTTGTTAGTCACCCTAACGAAAAGCGAGCTGTAACTTCTGTTACAACTCGCTCGCTTGGCTCGATTTTTTAAACAAAGGAACCCGTCTTTTCGCTGTTGCTATAACGATGTAGCATGAAATTAACGGATTTATTAAGACATTTTGCGATACCTGCGTTATTGAAATCATACTAAAAACTTTGAATATGAATAAACGATGCCAGAAAAATATAAAAATCCAAAATCTCCGAAAGAATTACTTTGATTCACAAAAATAAAATTATAGAGTCAGTAACCTAATATATGTACTAGTTTTTTGTTCCTAAAATCATTCCGTTAATAATTAAAATCTCAAAATTCTGTTTTATTTTGTCTGAAAAAGTAATACTCTACTAATTTAATCCACTAATAATTAATTGCATAACTAATTTAATATATGATAAATGCGTGCATTTTACAAGGGGCTTTAGCCTGTTGTAGACCGTTCATAGGAAAAAACATGTTGAACACCGATGATACTGATAAATTGGCAGCTGGATAATTGCAAAGTATTGGATAATTGTAAGATTTCATTTTTTTATTATCGTGGCTCTGTGAGTATTCTTCGACATAGTGTAATTGGTTAGGGCGGAGGAGTTAACCAAAAGCACATGATATGTCTAAATCCTCATTTACTAATTCCTGTAGAAATTTCCAAGGGCTTGATTTTATTTTTCTTCGCAGGCGTTCGCTACTGTCAACCCAGGTTCGACGGATACCTCTGTTGGCCTCCTACGGCTGCCGGGGAAACAACATACTTGCGTTGTCCAGTTGCGCGGCTGAGCGACTCGACGAGTAAGTAAAATGTTCATTACATTACAATGGGGGGTGAACAATTTTTACACGGTTTTACTACAACAACAAGAGTTGATATATGATTTGTGCCACCATGGTAAACAATATTGAACCATTCAGTCACTAATGTAAAACAAAATTGTACGCCCCCTTAAAATATATTTAGTATTTTTAACAGTTTAATACATATCATTTAAAGCCGATATTTTGTTAATGCGTTAAGTAAGATTTAAGTTTAACTACCCGTTATGTCAAGAAAATATAATTACTTAATTTCTCATTTAATGCCTGTGAAAGTACAGTAATGAAGATCTAAAACTGGCAAAATAATACCTCTGGGTCTGCGGAGGGACTTCGGTTCCCTCTGTACCGTATATTCCATGAGGAGTGCTCTGAGGAATTGTTTGAGATGATACCACCATCTCGTTTTTACCATCGCACCGCCCGCCATCGGAGTAGAGTTCATTCATACTACCTGGAGCCACTGCGTTCATCCACAGTGCGCTTCCAGAGATCTTTTTTACCACGTATCTTCCGGCTTTGGAATGAGCTCCCCTCCACGGTGTTTCCAGAGGGCTATGACATATCCACGGGCAATAAAAAAAAATCTCGATTTACCTTCTAAAATGCTTCACTATTTACCAAAGTAATGAATGAAGATGAAAATTTAAAAACAAAGCTGATGAATAAAGAAAAGAAAACGGATGTGAAATTTATTTACTTAGATATTATCATTAAATAATTGTTGAATATCATCAACTCTATCACCATTTAGAAACTCGCGGTGTTGTATAGATGGCTAAATAAACTCAGAGGACTTGTATTATTAATATTTATATTACGAATTTTTATCCTCACCATAAGACTATCAACGTAAAATAAATTTATTTATTGTTAAAAATAATTATAAATCGTAGAAATAAAACTGGGTGAAAACCCTGTTTCTACGTCGAGCTGTCGGTTAAGTAATTGCTAACTACAGAATGTATGTAGGTATATCTTAATGCCAAGAACGTTTCTTAATAGTTAACTTGGGTATTTGTAGCAATCGAACGTAAACCTAAAATAATTACATATTTTAAGTAGTCGATAATTTCGGTAACTGATAAATAACAAAAACAAAGGTTTTTTTTAAATAAAATTATAAAGTAAACGTGAATTATACCATGAAAATTCCTTATTAAATTATTCCAAATTCTAAATCAAAACAATCACGTTTATTATAAAGGGTGTTTTAACTCTCGAAATCGATTAAATATTTCAATAAAAATGAAAGAAAGTACAAAATTTCTGTACCAATGATCTAATACATAAAAGCTTAATGTTTAAAAAAATGCTAATTACGCTATCTAAAGCAAGAGCAGCTATCGGAAGCCCCTCATGTTATCGCAGACATTTGGCTACGTGTATCACGTGATACTGACAAAATAGTGGAAACAAATTGTATTATAGCTTTTCGTTTCTGAGGTTCGAGAAAAAAACATACAACGAAAGTACATCTTATCGGTTTTTTTTTCAATTTTGTAAAATTAATTAGTGAAATCTACACTCTAAGCTACTGGAACGAATTACAATCTCAAAAGTATTCAATTCCTTTAAAATTGGCAAAGATGTCATTTTAATTATTTAAGTCGTTGTTGTGTCATAGTATATTTTGTTTTCAAAACATACAACTATGAAATTTAATCTTAACCGTTTTTTCAATCATATATTCTTAAAAAATTCGTTTAATCGATTATATTTTAATCTTTTTTTTTTGTTTAAATCTTTTTATTTTTCAAAAAATAATTATTAGATTACGACTGATATGAATAAGAACATGATTTTATTAATTCAATAAGTAAAGTAAAAAGGCATTACAAAATATATAATCGATACAAAATCGTATAATATAGGTAGGTATAGCTAATCATAACAAATCGATAGAAAATCGTATAATATAGGTAGGTATAGCTAATCATAACAAATCGATACAAAATCGTATAATATAGGTAGGTATAGCTAATCATAATAAGTTACACGAATGCTTTTTACATAACTACTACAGAGCAAATTTAGAGATGATATTTTTTTCTCTTTATAACACTTGCAACAACTAAGTAGCATATTGTGTTAACTAGTTTATAATGCACGTTATTGTCGAAGCAACGTAGTCGGTCACAAATATGTGCGAAGCGTGTCGAGAGAGTTTATGCATTCGGAAACTATAGCAAACTATTCACATTGATGCTTAAAACTATTAACGCCTCAATATTGAATCGGCCCTCTCCACTGAACGTCTGGTTCATGGAAACATTATTATTAACAGATAGTTTATGTTGTGGTTAATAATTGCCAACTATATAATAGGTTGGGGAAAAAGTTTCTACGCATTTTTTAAGAAAATTCACATTTTTTAATATATAATAGTTTATTAGATAGCTTTTTGTCATCTTGTAGGTAGGGACATGATCCCATTGCTATAGAAATTTTGGGGCTTCTGATCAAAATACCGCGACAATTGGTTTTGGCAGTCCTCTCGTGATGTTAACCTGACACTGCCTAAAGAATTCTGAAGAAACCGAAACAGGTGGAAACCTGAAGGTGCAAGGTCAGGACTACACGGCGGATGTATTAACACCTCCCAGCCAAGCTCTCTTAATTTTTGCTGAGTGGCTAAAGATGTGTGAGGTCTAGCGTTATCATGATGAAAAACCACACCCCTTCTGTTGATTGATTCCGGCCGCTTTCTCTCAACTTTTTGCTTTAATTTCAAATGCGCCAAAACTGTTTTGTGATCAATTCCCAGTTTTCAGCTACGTCATAACTACTGATATGCCGATCTTGCTTCACTTTTTCAAAAATGGCATTCATTTTATCCGTAATAGAGCGACCAGAGCGACGTGCATCTTTGACATCAAAATTTCCGGATTGAAAACGCTTAAACCAAATTTGTGCTACTCTCACAGACACTGCACTAGGTCCATAAACATCGCAAATTTTTTTCGCGGCTTATGTTGCATTTACACCTTTTTTGTAGTAAAATTTTAAAATGTATCGAAATCCTTCATTAGATTCACGAAAAATAAACAAAAATCACACATTTTCCTAATTTGGATTTGGAATTATCTTCTTTAAAATTTAACATTTAATGATACTAAAACCAGCCAGATACAAGCAGTATAGCCAAAGAGATTTCATTACAAGTTCAAAAGGCTTTTTCCCCAACCTATTTTAATGAACGTGCGAATGAAAGATCAGATATGTCTATTTTTTTAATTATTATTATTATTTGTCAGGGCAATTTTGTGAGATTTGAGAGTTTTCAATAAAACATTTTCGTATTGAAGTTCAGCATAATTGAGTAAGTATATTCTGTGCTAATCCAATAAACTAATTATTATAGAATATACGGTATTAAAAATATTCATAACTTTTAATTAACAAAGTCAATCCAAAAGAGTCAAAAAGCTAATACAACTTAATTTCAAGATATTATTAATAACAATATATACTTAGTCTGGCCATAAATACTGTTACAACTAAAAATAAACAAAATATTACATTTGAATTTGGAATCTGTCATTTTTCTAAGATTGCTCATTGAGTTTTCTCATTTTGGCGGTTTTCTCATTGTACAATATTTTGTGATATTAAAATGGAGTGGGGTGATAAACAGAACCCAATTTGCTGTGATTGCATTACACAAAGTAGGTATGGAGCCAAATGCAATTTTTAAAACTCTCCATACGCTTGGTATTAGTAAAATGTTTGTGTACCGGGCTATTAATAGGTGCAATGAGACCTCCTCTGTTTGTGACAGAAAAAGATCTGGCCGTCTACGTAGTGTTCGTACCAAAAAGGGGGTCAAAGCAGTAAGGGAAAGAATTCGCAGAAATCCTGTCCGAAAGCAAAATATGTTATCTCGGGAGATGAAGATAGCACCTAGAACCATGTCGCGTATTTTAAAAGATGACTTAGGACTTGCAGCCTATAAGAGACGTACTGGTCATTTCATAACTGATAATTTAAAAGAGAATAGGGTGGGAAAATCGAAACAACTACTGAAACGGTACGCAAAGGGAGGTCATAGAAATTTTTTGTTTACGGATGAGATTTTTTTTACAATTGATCAACATTTTAACAAACAAAATGATCGTGTTTATGCTCAAAGCTCTAAGAAAGCTTCCCAATTAGTCGACAGAGTACAACGTGGGCACTATTCGACTTCAGTGATGGTTTGGTGGGGTATTAGCTATGAAGGAGTGACTGAGCCATACTTTTGTGAAAAAGGTATCAAAACATCGGCACAAGTGTATCAAGATACCATTCTTGAGAAGGTAGTGAAGCCCCTTAACAACACCATATTCAATAATCAAGAATGTTCCTTCCAGCAAGACTCGGCGCCAGGTCATAAAGCTCGGTCTACGCAGTCTTGGTTGGAAACGAACGTTTCGGACTTCGTCAGAGCCGAAGACTGGCCGTCGTCTAGTCCCGATCTTAATCCGCTGGATTATGATTTATGGTCAGTTTTAGAGAGTACGGCTTGCTCTAAACGCCATGATAATTTGGAGTCCCTAAAACAATCCGTACGATTGGCAGTGAAAAATTTTCCCATGGAAAGAGTGCGTGCTTCTATTGATAACTGGCCTCAACGTTTAAAGAACTGCAGCCAATGGAGACCACTTCGAATAAGCTTTTTATACTTTAAATTGTTTTATATTTATGTATTAAACTAACACACTGTAAAAGTAATAAATGTTATTTGCCATAGAATTTTTTTGTTTTCCTTTGTAACAGTATTTATGGCCAGACTAAATATATATATATATATATACATATTATATATCGGAGAATTTTAACTATTCATTTTTAACTTGAAATCGTTAAAAAAATTCTAGAAGGACTAATTGGAATATTGTTTTCGATGAGTTCATTTTCATGGGCTTCATCTTACCAACAACTTGTGAACCTTGCTCGTAGCATGCACTGTTTCCATACACAATCTATGTTCAGAACTACAGAGAACTTTCCAAAGTTTCTAGTTTAATTTTCCAGTTGAGAATTTTGATTGAGTGAGTTTAGTTTTTTGTTTGGTCTCAGTAAACTAACGTATCTATATCAATGAAGTAGGAAACCTATGGAAATGAAACGTCAACCAAAATTTCGTGCCACTGTGACGTCATCTGGCCACAAAACATGGCGGCTTTAGTGCTGTACAAAAGATTTCAATGTTATCAGGTTTTATCGATAAACGTTCTTGGCTCATTTTATTTTAAATATTGTTGAGTATTATTCATTTGTAGAATTTATACTTTAATGGGAAGTAAGTAGGTATATTGTTATGTGCAAATATGATATGATTTAGATGGGTGAAATCTAAGACAAGTTCGTCCTTCGAATTTGCCAAGTAAACGATATGATGATTTTTAAAAGTTGCTACACTGATTTTATAAAGTTGTCGTTTGTCGCAAAACATAAAGATATGGCGTAGTTCAAAGCCATCAGCCCATTTCTAGCATGCTAAATGTTATCGTATTTTGAGTACGTGTTTTTCTTAGACTATTACAATCTATTTTAATTGTTTTGCTGACTCTAAAGTCCGTAACATACTACCGCAGCGCACCCCAAGGAAGGTGCGCCGCACCATTTGAATCACTTTCGCTTGAGAGTGATTCAAATTTTAAACTTATCAAGGGACCGCGTGAAAAAAAAAACACCTACAGAACATTTATTCATTAATTACAAACGTCATTCCTTGTGACTTCCTCTCTAAAATCACTTAATTATTAAATATTTAACAAATTTACAATAGTGTTTTACTCACTGCGGAATAAAACTATTTTATTTAAATAGTTCCGAAGAGATTTTGTCGGTAGCCTTTTTCCCGAAATATCTAAACAGAATGTCTAAATATGTTTTGATGACATATTTTAAAGTGGTATTTATGATTAGTGTCATGATCAATAGATTCCGACCGAAAAATGGATTTTTCGGATGAGGGCTCCATAATGAATTTAAATACATATAGATAATAGTTTTAGGGCATCGACTTTCTTGAGATCCTATAAAATACGTTTTAATTATTATTTTTGTATGTTTTAAGCATGATAAATTATGAAATTTTATATAATCAATCATATTAAATCGATATCAAAGTCAATAAATAATGTACAACCCAAAACAGACGGCCGAACTGACGTGACAATGACATTTGGCGCGCTAAACATGGCGGATTTTCGGCCTCATTAGACGGAGACGGAGATATTTACGTATATTCATGTTTCATTTTATGTACGCACTGAAATACTGTTATATTGTTTTCCTGCGAGTTAAAGTGCTGAGTAAGAACGAGATAGATATATGTTTATGTATGTGCCTTCAAAATGGGTGCTATTTATATAAGCAATTGTACGTATAGAACAATATGTCGTGTCCCTACTATATAGGTCTATGATCTATATCCATTTATATTTTAATAGATGACAGATGGCGTCATCAAATCGTAAATAATATCTATCAACAATAAGCACGTACCGTACTGTCTTTGTATCTGCTACGTAAAATTAACTTTCGAATCCACTTAATATACTCAAAACTCGATTACAATTGGGAGAGGTAATAGATTTCGTTCGAAGCGATCGGAAGCCAATGCTTCTAAAGTTTCCGATCGCTACGCTGCTTAAAGATATTCGCTTAGTAAATTTCGTGATCACAACTGTCGGTATTGATTTGTCTGTGCCTGGGCTAATAGTGCTTCGATTTGATTAAAACCCATCGTTCGACGTGATAGTAAGTTTTTATATTGTAAGCAAATCTAAATAAATTTTTCGTCTTGTTTTATTAAATGCTAGCTTCGGAGGCCAAAACATTTAGCTTTAGTTCAGTTCTGTAAGATGAAATCAGGAAAATTAATTTTTTGTGTATGTAACTTTTGTTTTTTATTTTTCTGTATTATTATTATTATTTTTTGCTTATATGGGTGGACGAGCTCACAGCCCACCTGGTGTTGAGTGGTTACTGGAGCCCATAGACATCTACAACGTAAATGCGCCATCCACCTTGAGATATAAGTCCTAAGGTCTCAAGTATGCAACGACTGCCCCACCCTTCAAACCGAAACGCATTCTGCTCCACTGCAGAAATAGGCGGGGTGGTAGAGCCAACCCGCGCGGACTCATAAGAGGTCCTACCACCAGAATAAATTCGAAACAGAATACTAAGAATTAAAAACTAGCATAAATTATCATAGACCGGAATGTGTTGTTCTTTTTCTAAGAATGTCTTCAACTTACGAAAACGTCAAGAAGGATAGTTTTTCTGATCATGAATATGTGTCCATAATATTTTATATAAAAAATGACATGTTTCAGAGTTTACGAGCTATGACAGGTGAAAATTAACTTCTTTTTTTAAGTTTTATTGATATGATGAAAAAATTAACTATAAATTTTACTACACGGTAAGCGTATTTATTCGGACAAAACTCTCTAAGAGTTGCAGTTTTACACTTGTATTAATAAAACTCGTTTTGTTGGCCGATCTTTGACATGACTCTGATCTGATCGCTACCAAAGCCTCTAAGATCATCCGTTAGGTCAACCTCAAGATTTTCTGAAATTTCGATTGAAATCGATGCAGCCGTTTCAGAGTCCTTAGGAGACGTACACACAACGACTTTTATATGAATACATAGCTATGCTGTTGCATGTTTTCGAAGCATACAAGACTATTGGCCAGAGAAATACGTTTTTTTTACTCTGCTTACAACATTTCTCTGATAAGGAAAATACATTTCCAGTAAACACAGCCTAGGGCTTAGCGTTCAAATAACATAAAACCATTTAAGCCCAACGAATGATAGCTTAATGGTAAAATAATTGAAAATTAATTAACAAATAAGTCATTTTAATTATCTATACTTTTGCGCAAAGCGGAAACGAATGTAATGCAATTTGTTTAATTTTACGAAAGATAGCTAGCTCGTGACTCAGTGGATGTTAACCGCTTGACTTCATGCGAGTTGCCGCTGCTTTGAGATTCAGGACAACTACATTTTTTTCTGATGTTTACAATAAACGAAGCTACGCAATTAAATAAGAAAAAATACATACATACAAAAATAAATAAATACAATTCACGAGCGAGGTCAACGGTCTCGTGGGATGCTAGGATAGGTAGCCGTCTGCCAAAATTGCTTTCGATTTAAATAGACCTCTGAAAATAAACTTGATATTTTTTTTTACTTTTCATATTTACTTTTGTTCGGATTTTTCGAGTCGTAAATGGGATTAATCGCGCTTAAGATTTAATCTTTTGATGATCCAATATTCTTTAAATGGTCTTCTACACGACCTATGAAAAGGTTGTTGTTTCCGTCAAAATAATGCGGTTGTATCGAAATCGTGACTTATTATGCGCATTCTAGTCACATAATAAACTCTTTGTTTTCAATTCTATTGTTTGTCATGAGATAACGTTACCACGGCCGTCAGTATGTTTCCAATCTGTGATAGATAATCAGCGTCAGCACATCAACAGATAGACAATGTCGTCTTCATGCATTGCTTTATATTTGTGTTTGTCGTCAAAGCATTCGATCTTAAAACATTACGGTCAGTCAGTGCCAGATATATTTTGAAATATTGTTATATATATATATATACCGTTTATATATTTGAATAAAATATAAATCAGCAAAGTATTACAAATCCTTTTTCTACTGGTGGTAGGACCTCTTGTGAGTCTGCGTGGGTACCACTACTGTACTGTAGGTTCTGCCTATTTCTGCCGTGAAGCAGTAATGCGTTTCGGTTAGAAGGGTGGGGCAGCCGTTGTAACTATACTTGAGACCTTAGAACTTACATCTCAAGGTGGGTGGCGAATTTACGTCGTAGATGTCTATGGGCTCCAGTAACCACTTAACACCAGGTGGGCTGTGAGCTCGTCCACCCATCTAAGCAATAAAAAAAACCTTATTTAAATTTATTAATTGTTTTTCATATAAAATACAAGATTTGAAGAATTGATACAAGATGATCTCGGATTTTTAACAGAATACTGTATCGTGGCGACAACAGACACCCACCATCTCTTTTTATGGAGCAATTAAATAGCAATCCATGTCCCGGGGCCGTCTATAAACTAAGAGTTTTGTTTCGTTTTGCTCTGATATCGTTCGAATTTAATTATTGTTGATAGTGCTGTAGTTTGTAGACTGCATGTAAACATTTGTGCTTCAAAAAGCCTGTTACATGGAGAAGGTTGGGCCGAATTGGGCAGTGAATAAGCTTTTGCCGTACAGGTCAATTTACACGGTTGGCTATTCAGCGCTTTGTATTGGTAAACATTGAGGCACTGAAATTTAAATAGTGGTGCATTCAAATTTGAAATTCAACTACTCAAAGGGGCTCAAAGCGACGCTTCGATATCTTATTCCGTATATTCGGATGAGTGGAAATTGAAAACTGAACAAACAAAAGTTTTTTTAATATCAGGTAGCCTCAGATTTCTTTTGCAAAATCGATGCGGTTATCAAGCGCTCCTTTTAGGGATAAAAAATGAATGTGAAATTAACTAGAAGTGGAAGATTTATTATTTGAAACTTAAGTACACATAGCGTCGAAAATTTTGTCTTTTTTTTTAATCAAAGGACATCAAATTTTAATGATATATTGTTACCGCTTTTTAATAAATAATACACAAAAGCGACCAGCTTGAGTATTTGAATTGGAATATTAAATTTTAAAAAGGATAATTTTATCTTTCTTCGTAATGATAGAGTTTATATTTTGAAGATCCATTTGATTTTTAGTTCGGAAAACTAGCTCATATTTTCTTAAGACTCATAAATATGCGATACACGTTATATATATACATGGTATATATATAACATGGTATATATATAGCTGCCGACGCTTATGTCGATTTGCTAAATAATGTTTTATGTTTTCATTTTTATTTTTTCGTAATAAATAATCATCAGAAAACGCGTATCGGAGGTGTGGTATCGACGGTCTTTGGAACACAAAGAAATTTAACGAGACTTCAGAGATAGGGTGGACAAACTACACTCCTTGCTTCCCAATGGAAATTAGAAACATGCTCAACGAACTTTATGAAGAGGATGAAACGGGAGCGCAGGTGAGATGGACAATTACTATTGTAATTTATAACTCAAATATATATTTTTACGACCATTTCCCAAAAATCAGACTTCGAGGCTCCAACAGAAATAATGCAGCAATTATTCATAAACAGGTTCGTATTATATTAATGAATCATTTTATCATATTTTAAGATTATTTGAAATATTATACAACATTTTTTTTGGTTCAAGCTTATGAAATTTGAATGTTATATATATATTTAGTTTACTTTTGGTTAAATTAGTACCCCCCTACGTTTTAAATAAACAGGGAAAAATCATAGTATTTCAGTTCGAATGGTGTTCCGTATGTCACCGTTCATATTGTAGCTTCGACGTTCGTATTATCATTCACCATTAGGGTTATATTACTTTGTCTTAACCAGTCTCCACGCTCGATTCACAGTAAGTATTTTTGCTAGAGGTTTTTGGCATTCGGGATCTAGGCGTATACCGTACGCTTCCGCATATCCTAGTCTAGTATGTTTTGTATTCTGATCCGTTAATGCGTGAGAGAGCCCTAGCATAGGGTTGTTCAATTATTATTTTTTTACTTGAATGGCTGAACACAGACAGTATATTCTGCGTATTTAAATTACATGTGTATTCTATATTAGACATGAAAAAGCGCTGATTTTTGCATAATTCTTTGTGGTTTTTTTTTTTTTTTTTTCCTAATCTTAGATTCGTTCCACAAATTTCACATATGAAGGCTCTTTCTCGGTAGCGCTTTGCAGCGTTTTAACTTTACAAACGAATAAATAAAAACCAATTTTGCATACATTAATAAAGGACTTGGTATGAGCGACGTGGTTTAAGTAAATAATCGTGTTATAAATGTAATTGCGGGGAAGATGAAAGTTTGTTTGATTTAAAATTTTCGTGGGGCTCACTTAAATATGAATGAACTTTTCAAATTCATTGAAAAAACGGTACAGTAAGAAACGATTTTTTATTTTAAGGCTGACTGCTATAGAGTTCAAAATAATTTAATGCGACACACCAATAGAGCAAACCATTTAGATATGTTTCGCCTTTATAGTTTACCTTTTTAAGTGAAATCGGCAGGCGCTCATTCGTAATCGGGTACCTATTCGGAAGCAATCAAACGGAACTATATAATGGTTATTGAGACGAACTTATTGGTAATATTTATATCAAATGTCATATTAAACTTTTTTGTTGTAATTTCACTTTAACCGATAGCCGTAAATGTTAATATAAGAGTATTTCAGACTCGATGTATCACTTAGAGATATATTTAAATCTACAGTTCGCTTATGCCTTGTTTATATGAATTAATATATACATAATATGTATTTTTTTAGTCAAATATCTGAACGATATCTTAGTTTGTATCGGTCAATTCCGATTCAGGATATTTCTGAACTTAATTAAATATTGTTTATTTATTTTAAGAAAACTTCAATGCGATCCGAACTTTCGTTCGATATAGCGAAGTTTTCGGTTTCAAACAATTACATTTGGATCGCTTCGTCGTTGAATCCGAGCCGTGTCGCATTCAATCTCCTTGTTGGAGAGTTTGTTTTTAGTTTTTAAACACGGTACATGCTATTTGCTTACTTATTAAATTTCTCGTTTGTTTAGCACTTTTAATAATGCTGAATTTCGGTTATTTTAAAACTTTGTTCGCTGTCTTGTAAATGTTTTTAAGATTTTCTGTATTAAGTCTTTTTTATGATTGTATATATATATACAAAAATACTAAAAAAAAAACAAATTAAAATTAATGAAACTAAGGATGTTGAAATCTTCGAAATATACGTCACATAAAAAAAGCGTAGGAGGGTACTAAATACAAGAATACAAATATACTTTTTATTTTGTTGTTTTTTTATTCTTAATTTTCTTTAGGATAAATTCAACGTAGCTCTGAGGACACGTTATTTGGAAATCTTCGGGTTTACGTTATCGTTCATCGCACTTTCTATTTCCCTCTACATCTTCATTCATTTTAGGTGAGTTTGGTTTGTTTTTTTACTAAGCGAACAACTTTAAGTCAGTCGTTCCAAATTGTACTCTATATAACGTTGCATTGAATATAAAGCCATATTTTTTTGGAAACTAATCTCTATCTTAAAATCAGAAACTTACACTCGATCGAAATTCAATTTTGTCTTATGTTATATTTTGCATTACTTATAACCTTTTCTTTTACTGGAAAACAATTTTCCAAATTCGATTTCATTTATACAGAAATATTTATTTATTAGTAAAAAAAAAACATATTACAAACTTGTATTTACTTGTAAATTTTTGATGGAAAGATAGAAATTTGAATTAGCGTACCGACTTAGGGCACTCCGGAATCACCGTACTCGCATTCATAAGCATCTTTTCGGTGCAATGCTCGTCCAAGTGCTCATCAGGCTTACTGTCTACATCGATCAAGCTGTGGTAAGATCATCGATCAGCTCTACGGATGATAACACTACGATGACCCGAGGAATCGACAATATGGTCAGTAAGTTTTAAAACGTGATTTAAAAAAAAAACTATATTTAATAAAGTGACTTGAACCACAATTTAAATTACTTAATAATTGTAATATCATCGAGTTTGGAAATTGTTTTAGAAAAGAAGCACTACTAATATTGCTGATTCCCTAGCGTGATCATTAAAACTATGTACCGATTTGAATAAGTATATTAAATACCCCGACAAGCTCTCTTAATATGGTTATAAATAGAAAGTATCTAAAGCTAGCATGATAATTGATACGTTAGATGCGTATTGTATATTTTTATAATTGTGGTTCAAGTACCTTTCGATACCAAGATGAGAATAAGGATCATTTTTTTTTACTTCAGTCATTTTTTAATTTATTTTAAAGCAAAAAGTTTTAAAATGATAAATTAAAAAAACAATTCTAAATTTTTATTTATACCATGGAACGTAATCTGCTTAATTATTTTCTTTTTGAATAATGTAAGGAATATGTTCGTAACGAACATCCACCAGCTTTATAAATACTCACATCACGCCCAAGCTAAACATGTTTCGACCACAAAGCAATCATACGTTCTGGTTTGAGGGATAGAATAGCGGTTATTGCATAAGCTTGCAGGTCTCGACCTTAGGTTAGGGCGACCATATTGATTTTGTGGCATCCAAACACAAAGGTATTTATTGGGCATTAGATTCGATAGTTCGTTTTACATTAACATAACGGGTGGAAAATATGCCTTTAAAAAAAGAAATACGTACTGGTAGCATACTACTATTCCAGTTATTCGGAAAGCTACAAATATAGCTAACGATTTTTCACAGCTGTTTTAAGCATTAAAGAAAGGGGGACGTTTTTATTTTTATAATAGATATAAATGTAAGTATATTTGCTCTTTCGGTAGGTATTGTCACAATAAAGAATGATAATCAAGGTGAGTTTTAAAGCAGACTCACCAAAAAACAATTAACTCGCCTATGTTTATTGCTAAGGTTGTTTTGGATAGCCACTTCTTCCTACTTTTCATTTCAAAGGCTGTAAGACTCACAAAACAAGGAGTCGATAATAGATATTAAGAGAGATCCTCTTCGTCTCTGTTAGCTCTGGCTAGCTTTTTTTTTTTATTCTTTATTAGAGCCATGCACCTATTAGGTTAAGTCGGCTAAGGTTTTAAGTAGAGAATTAGCAATTTCCGTTCTCTGTCCCGGCATGAATATTTTGCGGCTACCCTCGATTATAAAAAAGACGTGTGGCACTCGGGGACTGCCGCGGTAAAGCTATTGCAAAGCATTTTTTATCAACTTATGCAATTACAATTAGACAATAATAATTTAATATTAAAACAATAATAAAAATAAGACCACGCTATATTTATAAACATTAACAAAAGCAAAACATGAACTGTCCCCCTCACACTCATAAGCTAGACCGTGCGAGAGAAAGATGGGCAGACTTTTCATGATGCTCATGCAATGCGACGTCACGCCGCGCGCTTATTCACAAACACTACACCAGCGCAACGTGTGAATGTGTTGAACGCGAGCTACATAGTAGGCGTAGTGGGGGAGCCAGGTTATTTTCGTTACGTAATTTCTTGATTCGGTCGCCGCGCTCAAGGCCCGCGACAGAAGCTATGCAAATGCAATGAAGCTTTAGCAAAAATATTTGTCTAGGCCCAGATTAAGCATAAAGTGACTACTATTTTACTAGGACCATTTTCCTTAGATAAATTTTCTTTACCTCCTCTTAAGAGAGTATCAGAATACGAGATGTTAGTACCTTTTGATGTCTAGGGCATAGTAGTTCTACATTAGATAAGCACAGAGATGCAGATGGGCGCAATATGCACGAACTTAATAAAGGCTAAAGAGGACACAAAATAGATACTTGCACGTTCAGATAATTTTATGGCAATGCTAAAAATCTCTTAAAAGTTATAATGCAATTATTAAAACAACAGACATTTCGATCTCATGACTCAAGGCTACAATAGATAACCATTTTACATTGGATAAGTTTGTGATTTATTTATTTTTCTACGTCCTAAGAAAGAAGGTTGGGTGACGACGGACTTTGTAGAATCACTAGAGATTAATATCACTTCAAAGGCCCTATTTCACACCCCAAATTGATTCCCCCTTCTCCCGGTGCCAGGAGGATGCCTAAAGGCTATTTCGCATTGAGTATAAAAATATGAAATTATACATGAAGAGCGTTACGAGAATCCAATTGAGTTTTCTAAGCGTCAGTCAAGATTCAATTTAGTTAGTTTTTATTCGAAACGCTTATTAAAAAAAAAAAAAAAAAATTTAATTCAGACCCTCTTAAGTCCATATGTTGTAAGTAGAATAATACTTAGAACTATGTTAGTAAAATTAAAATTAGCAATTAAAACATTTAAACATTTAATTCATAAATCTGCGCTGCTTTGAGGCACCTGGTATATGGGTATGTATATGAACCCAGTGTCTCGAAACAGCACATTTTAAAAAGCGTTAAATTAATTTTAGCGTTACAGCAATGTGTTTGGTTTAAAAGTTTGAAACAGTAATATTATTGACTGTATTGAGATTTAAATCTCAGGTCTTGATGTATGTGACGACATTCAGATAGGGATGTCTGTAGACTCCGCTAACCACTTGAGACCAAGTGGGCCGGCAGTTCATTAGACATGCTAATGCAAAATTAACTGAAAAACCGAGTATCAAATAAATAATTGGCAAAATTATTGCAAAATATCGATTAAAACTAAATTTTTGAAGATATCTATTTTAGTAGCTAGTCTAGTATTATTAGATTTCGAATAAAAATCTAGAAAATTATTTTTTCAATTTGAATTTAATTTGATATGTTTTTAATCATAATATCGTAGATTGATTTGAATCTCTGAGCCTTTGAAATTCACTGTGTTTTGTATTGTATACTTCATCCCACCCTTCATCCATAGTGGGTTTATAGAGTGTTTTTGTTACGTAGGTACTATGTAATTTTGGATTGAAATTCGCTCCACATTTTTTTCTGAGTTCTTCGATATGTCCTGTTTCAAACTAGGTATTAAAGAGTCTTCGGCGGTAGGAAGCCAAAGGACTACAATCATATTGGTGTGATTACGAAGACCATAAAAAGTAAATTGATAAATCAATGTATTTAAAATATAATAATTAAATTAATTACTTAGCGAGCAAATTATAAACAGAGACTTACATAAAATGAACTGATTACGACAGTTAAAAAAACTAAGTCAAAAATAATAGACTTTCGTGCAGAACGATAAGAACTTTTACTTGTTCACTAAAAACTGTACGTACATAATCCATTGTACCTTTTTAAGTACATTTTTCCGTATTACGAAATATTGCAAAAGTTAATAAGGACCCTACAAAATTCAGTAGACTATGCGACGTTCGTGATCCTTGACTGGGCTCGACAAAACTTAGCCTTCTAAACTACTCAGTCAAACTAAACGTCTCGCTCGCAAACTACCAAAACATAAAAAGCGTAAGAGGGACGAAACTTCAAGACTTGGTCTCCATCAAAGGTTTCGTACTTAGCCTTCTTTGTGAAGATTTAATTAGATTTGAAGTTGTCTCCTCGTTCAAGTTTTTAAAATGCAAAATTGCATTTATTTAAAAGGTGAGGGCTCTCTTTTGACTTGTAAATTAAAGTTTCTGAACTTCAATGAAATGAAAATTTAAAAAATAGCGTTGAATTTCACTCTCCAGAGCATTAAGACGCTCTGTAACCGTATCCTGTGTCAAATATTTTTATGTTTTTTAAATGATAACTTTTATTGCTTAGATTGGTGAACGAGCTCACGGCCCACCTGGTGTGAAGTGGTTACCGGAGCCCATAGACATCTACAGTGTAAACGCCGCCATTTACTTGAGATAGAGTTCTAAGGTCTCAGTTTTTGTAGTATTAACGGCTGCCCTACCCTTCAAACCAAAACGCATTTCTGCTTCCCGGCAAAAACAGGGAGGACGGTGGTACCTACCCATGGGGACTCTCAAGACGTCCTACCACCAGTAATTATGCAAATTATAATTTTGCGGGTGTGATTTTTATTATACGACGCTATTCCTTCATTGTGGAAGTCAATCGTGAAAACTTGTTAAGTATGTACGTATTTTATTAGAAAAATTGGTACCCGCCTGCGGGATTCGAATACCGGTGCATCGCTAGATACGAATGGCTCGGCTCGGCTCTTATCCTTTAGGCCACGACGACTTTTAACTTATACGAAATGATTACATGCGCCCGAGAACGCGCTTATGTTGTGTCAAACGTGCGGTACTAATTATTATTAATACTCCTAGACACAATGACGTAAGTAATTTCATCTATGTTTTTCGTAGCATTACGTGATAATGATATTTAATGTAACCTTTTTTCTTTATAATTCACTTTCGTTCGTACGTCATAATATGTACGAGTATATTAGAAATAGTACGAGGGCTGCACTAAAAGTATCGGGAATGGAATATTTCCACTGTTCCTGTCATATTAAAATCTTTTTAATTGAAAACTCTTTGGTTTTAAAAATCGAATACCATTTATTTATTTAAAAAAAGATTCTCGGTCTTGTCACGAGGTTTTGTCAAACTTGTTTAGTCGTTGAGAAAATGGAATTGACTCGAAAAAATTCAAGAGCGATGATTTATTATGACTTTCGAAGTGGTTTAACACAAAAACAGTGTGTTGACCGGATGATTTCTGAATTTGGTGATGAAGCCCCATCCAAAACCACAATTTATCGCTGGTTTGCTGAGTTTCAACTTGGACATGTCAAGCTCAGTGATGATCCCCGTCAAGGTCGTCCAAAAACTGCAGTCACCCAAGAAAACGTTGATGCTGTGCGTAAGCTGATTGAGGAAGATCGACATGTGACATACCGCGAAATTCAGGCAACTTTAGACATTGGCATGAGTCAAATACAAATAATCTTGCATGAACAATTACGTGTAAAAAAGTTGTTTTCCCGATGGATACCGCATTCGCTCTGTGAAGAGCAAAAAGCGGCTCGCGTTACTTGGTGCGTCAGAACTCTCGAAAGATTCCACGCAGGATCCTCAAATGCTGTATACAACATTGTATCAGGTGACGAATCCTGGATATACGCGTACGAACCCGAAACAAAAAACCAGTCACGAGTTTGGGTGTTCGAAAATGAGTTAAAGCCAACAAAAATTGTTCGTTCACGGAGTGTTGCAAAAAAAATGGTGGCCACGTTTGTCTCCAAAACCGGCCATGTTACGACTATTCCTCTTGAGGGACAAAGAACGGTTAATGCAGAATGGTATGCTAGCATTTGTTTGCCACAGGTCGTTTCTGAACTCCGTAAAGAGAACTGCAACCGCCGCATCATCCTCCATCACGACAATGCGAGTTCTCACACCGCGCACAGAACAAAAGAGTTTTTAGAGCAAGAAAACATAGAATTATTAGACCATCCGCCGTACAGCCCCGACCTAAGCCCTAATGATTTCTATACTTTCCCTAAAATAAAGAATAAATTGCGTGGACAGAGATTTTCATCACCTGAAGAAGCTGTGGACGCCTACAAAACGGCCATTTTGGAGACCCCAACTTCCGAATGGAATGGTTGCTTCAATGATTGGTTCCATCGTATGGAAAAATGTGTCAAATTTCGCGGAGAATACTTCGAAAAGCAATAAATACATTTTTAAATAGTAATGTTGTGTCACTTCGTTAATTCCCGAAATTTTCAGTGCCGCCTAGGTATACCTATAAATGAGTTAATCAGTTTTATTCAACAAATTCGGTGTTTTTAGTAGTGAATTGCAGGCCTATTTGTTTATTTTTATTTTAGACTTATTTTATTTTGATTTTTGATAGACCCCGAAATCAATAACTAGTAGCTGTAAGCATGATAAAGAACGTTTCTCGGCAACGTGTTAGTAGATGACTCCGATGAAGTAATAATATTTCCGTATCGAAACTGCTGAACCAAATGTTCCTATTGGAGCTATTGGACTCAGGCTTACGCTTGGACTAACGACTGATGATTCTAGTGGCGAGCAAGCTACAGCAGAAAGTTCTGCTTAGTCTGCTACGTTGAAAAAATTAACATGTTGACTGCCATGTGCTATAATAACTACTTTAACGCGCCACATAGGGAATCAGTGACCTACATGGCAGTCAACGTGTGAACTACCAGAGAAATTCTTATCGCAGGATACTACGTATTGGTACCAAAAAAAATCTAATATAAAAAAAAGACATGCCCTCTGAGTTTCTTGGCAGTTCTTCTCAGGAAGGAGGCTAGTTTTTGTGAATTGGCGGTAGTTCTTTTTGACGTTCAACAAGTATGTACTTTCATTAATGTTGAATTTTTTTTTGATTTGATTTGGAACCGTCAAAGCCTATTCATTGGTCCAATAGAAATCCATCCAAAAAAAATGTAATTTACGTTAATTGGGTTACTTTAATGATCGCCACTGCTGGGGATATTGCAGGAGAACGCAACAACAGCTGGCGCACGGAAGAGGTGCAAAATAAAAATCCCCAGAAATATTTTAAAGTTAAAGATACCATAAAAAGGCACTGCAATGTTTGCGTTTCAGAACGAACTAACATTTCTTTCGTATCTTCTTCGCAAACTCTAGTAAATGAAAAAAACTTTTCGGTGTTGAAAGTTTTGAGGCTCTCAACCATACTCTAGATAGCAAATAAAAACAACATGATGAATCATTCGAAGTAATTAGTTTTCGTAACAAGAAAATGACGAAATAAAATGTAATGGCTCGTTGTCCAATTGTGTCCTACGAACAGTGTAAAGCGAAATAATAGGCAGGAGCTTATGTCTTCTATGTGATCCTAAATACAATTTGAAATGATTCTATGACTAGCTGTACCCGTCCGCTTCGCTGGGCATTTAAAATTAACATTATTATTTCTTACCCCACAAAGTTTCCCATCATTAACGCCCCCGTAACTGGTGTAGAGAGTCCAAAACTCATATAAATATTAGCCTATCCATTAAGTACATGTATTTTCTACATGGATACCAAGTTTCAAGTCAATGGGATGCACGGTTCAGTAGTTATAACGGAACATACGTAAAAACCACTGTACATTTATATATTAGTATAGATATGCTGCTTAATATAAAAAAAAAATTGACGAATTAAATCTTACGACAGGCAGTGATGTTACTATGCCTTTGCTAATCCCGGTGTTCATTTTAGTATGCTTTTATTAGTTTTATACATACGTTACTATGTAACGGAATCTTTGAACACGATATTGATCTCTTGAAAACGTCGGATCAACTTGAAATTTGGCATACTTATCAAGGGCCGATGACAAAAATTATTTTAAATATGTACATCGTATAATAAAAGTGAAACCCGCAAAATTATAATTTGCGTAATTACTGGTGGTAGGACCTGTTGTGAGTCCGCGCGGGTAGGTACCACCACCCTGCCTATTTCTGCCGTGAAGCAGTACGGCGATTTGGTTTGAAGGGCCGAGCAGCCGTTGTAACTATACTGAGACCTTACAACTTATATCTCAAGGTGGGTGGCGCATTTACGTTGTAGATGTCTATGGGCTCCAGTAACCACTTAACACCAGGTGGGCTGTGAGCTCGTCCACACATCTAAGCAATAAAAAAATAATAAAAAAATAATAATAATAATAATAATTTGCGTAATTACTGGTGGTAAGACCTCTTGTGAGTCCGCAAGGGTAGGTACCACCACCCTGCCTATTTGTGCCGTGAAGCAGTACGGCGATTTGGTTTGAAGGGCCGAGCAGCCGTTAATACTGTAAAAACTGAGACCCTAGAACTCATATATCAAGGTGAGTGGCGGCATTTACGTTGTAGATGTCTTTGGGCTCCAGTAACCACTTACTTAACACCAGGTGGGCTGTGGGCTCGACCAACCATATCTATATATATATATATATATAAATGAATTGCTGTTCGTTAGTCTCGCTAAAACTCGAGAACGGCTGGACCAATTTGGCTGATTTTGATCTTGAATTATTTGTAGAAGTCCAGACGAAGTCTAAGAGGTAGATAAATATGAAAATGCTCAGAATTACATAAAAATAACAATTTGGTTTTTCCATTGATGTCGCCCCCGTCGGACGGATTCCTTTTATTTGTTTTAAGTTTATTTTATACAAAAGTTTAGGTGTTTTATTTCTTCATTAAATCACTACGAAGTCTACCGGGTCAGCTAGTAAGCAATAAAAAAATACCCATTATTTACTTTCGGCAGTCAAAACAACAAATTCATATAAGCGCCTTCATTTTTTCACTTAGCAATATTTGCCTGAATGTACATTAATGAAAAAATTATGATACATAATGCTACCTAAACTAAAAAAAATAAAAAAACCTAATAGATTAAAAAATAACTAAAAAACAAGCTTTTATAAAAAAATCAACTAAAAAATATAAAATAAATTTATTTAAAAAAAGCGTGGGCTGCTTTTTAAGATCTTTCCTGTCAAATATTTATGACTATTGACACCATGCACAATGCACCTTGCACCATTGATTTTCTATAAAAGCGTGTTTTCAGTTGTTTTTTTTAATTATTCATTATATTCGCAGACTTGTTGAAGCAATTAAATACATTTATTAATAAAAACTGATCCTTATTTTATTTCTTGAATCTAAGAAGTATATTTTTTCTTATACTTTCGGGAATTGGAGAGATGTGGGTTTGCTCAGAAAAAAAAATACTTGATATAAGCCTGTTGCCATGGTGTAAAATCGCTTGAGAAAAATACTTACGTCGTAAAAGACGTTATAAGTGCGTTATAAATAACTAAATCCCTTTTCAGAGAATGCTTTGTATATTTCTTTTTTGTTATTCTTCTTTCAATAACACCATTCATTGAATGGTTTATTTCAAGATTTTCGTTATGATTCTTTTAAATATTATTTATAAACAAAGTTTTCGATCGTTTTGTGTCAAGCTTGTAAAGACGTATGATCTTTAGTGTTTTACTTTTATTGTGGGCTATGGGTTCTATTGTTTTTTCTAACCTGGTATTAATTAGATAAGTTTTAATTATTTCAATGAAGAAATCTTCTTACGTCAATACTTTTGTTCAAAATCGATTTTAGAAATATGTTCTTCGCGTTTTATAACATTTCAGCCGTACATTTGCGAAGGATCATATGTTCTACTTGAGTACGCTACATCAGCGATGTTTTTATGGATGTTCATGGAAGGTAAGTGATAAATTGCTATAGCATAATAGTCGGACCTATGAAAATTAAAGGCGGAATTAGCATGTTAAAATACTAAGTTTTTTTTAATACTGCAATCAGAAAAAAACTTGTGTGCTTTCCAGGGTTTCTTTGCTGTTTGATTCTTGTCTCGCAAGTTGAACTTGTTCCGTCCGCTAACTTTAAATTAGCTAGAGATCTGCAGTTATATCAATGGCTTAAAAAAAACACTTAGTACCTTCTTCTGTGGAAGGAAACATAATTAATTCTAGTGTTTGTGTAATTAACACAAGCTGTATATTTACTGTGCTTCACCTATTTATCCTCACTACAGAGCGCAATAAGTATACGATTTGTGACCTTAGTAAATACCGGACCGTGTGTGAAAGCCTTATATTCACACTTCTTACCTGATAGTATACGTTTTCTGGAGGATAAATTTATAAAATAAAAACCATGATATTAATATGTCCCAAAGGAAAACAGCATGATATTGAACGATAAAAAGTATTAATGGAAGTCTTTGGTATTAAAGACCTCACTTTTTAAACTTATCATTCGGCTGCTGTCTGTGGTACACGTGTAACATATTTTATCGTGGAAGTTTTACACGTGCAGCGGTAATTATCAATGAACAGAGGAAATATTATGTTAAAAACTTGGATCGCGCTAACAATAGTTTCTAGATCATATTGCATATTATATACATATTATATAATAGTACTTCTGTGTTTCGAATCACGGTATTCGGACCGCTCCCTAGACCATCACATATATTTTTGAGTAATTAAAATGATTTACATTATGATAAGTTTTAATTTGAGAGTTTGTAAGTGTCTATCAAGTATACGACCGGGACGCATTGAATGCATTTTTTGTTGGCTGTTAGAATACCATCCATCTCTTGACAACCACGAAACTTGGTCGATTCCTATCGACTTTTTTTTTATTGCTTAGATGAGTGGACGAGCTCACAGCCCACCTGGTGTTAAGTGATTACTGGAACCCATAGACATCTACAACGTAAATGCGCCACCCATCTTGAGATATAAGTTCTAAAATCTCAGTATAGTTACAACGGCTGCCCTACCCTTCAGACCGAAACGCATTACTGCTTTACGGCAGAAATAGGTAGGGCGGTGGTACTTAGCCGCGCAGAATCACAAGAGGTCCTACCACCAGTAAAAAACTGTCCTGTTTAGCTTAAAGAGTTTTGTTAGATCCATCAGAAAGGGTTTTTTTTAAATACAATTGCAAACAATTACGAAATCATGTTACGATTTTATTAGGCAAAATAATTAGATATGTATTTGATTATTGTTGATTACATTCACGAATTTTAGGTCTTTACCTACATAACGTAGTAGCTGCGAACAATTTGCGAGAACGTGTCCCCTACCAATGGTATTGTGTTTGGGCCTGGGGCGCTCCCGTTGTTATAACATCAATTTGGACTATATTAACAGCTCTTAAATATCGCGGTGAAAAAGTTCAAACGTGAGTATAATTTTGGAGGTTGTTTAGAAATTGCCTCGTTTGATTATTTAGAATTTACATTACCTTGTTTTGATCATTAACTTCAACGTAGCTCATAATAACGGAATTAATAGTTGTTCAAATACATTTACGCCCGGTTTCTGTAATCGATTAGCGATTGGTTTTGCCTAAGAGCATCACAGTTTTGTTCATGAGTTAAGCCAAAACCGTTCCTATAAAAGTTTCATCGACGTAAGCTAAACTACTGAGCTTTCTACTTCCCGATGGGAGGGTTACGGATAACGTTTAGTAAGTAGAATAAGCGGATTCTGTAGGGTAAAACTAAGGAGCAGAATCAGATTTAAAGTGTGGCAATTTATGGTGTTGCTTTTAAAATCCTTCCACTTGCTACTAGGGCGACACCTTAATTGGCTCCTTTTCTCTTGCTTACAAGAGCGGAAGAGCTCAAAGCCCACCTGGTCTTATGTCGTTATCGGAGTCCATAGACATCAACAACATAAGACGTCCTAACTACCTACTACTACTACTACTACTACTAATTATAATTTTTATGGATTTGATTTTTACTACACGATGTTATACCTTAACCGTGGTAGTCAATCGTGAATATTAGTTACGTACGTATTTCATTAGAAAAAATGGTACCAGATTTGAACACCGATGCATCGTTTGATACGAATGTATCAGCCACTTTGTCCTTTAGGCCATGACGACTTCGCAATTGATGATTCCCCAAGGAGTTAGATGCCGAGCTCGTAAAGGCCGACCTACTCGAACAAGGCCTACCCGTAAACTCCGTGCACCGCATGCACACAGGACGCGGGAGGGAGCCATACAATATGGTTCTCGTCGCCCTCCAGTCTACCCCCGAGGGTAAGAAAATCTTTAACGTCCGAACTGTCTGTAGGCTTTCCGGAATCACCGTGGAAACCCCTCATAAAAAAGGCACTCCGAGCCAGTGCCACAATTGTCAGTTGTACGGGCATTCTTCCCGTAATTGTCACGCGCGCCCTCGATGCGTCAAGTGTTTGGACGATCACGCCACGACTCTTTGCACTCGCGATCAAAAAACCGCGACGGAACCACCTAGCTGCGTCCTGTGCCGAACACAGGGTCACCCCGCGAATTACCGTGGATGCCCCCGAGCCCCTAAAATAAATCGCCGCGTCGCGCGTCAAAACCGCCTCCGAGCTTCCGGCCCTGACATCAAAGCCACGGCACCCTCTGTGCCGAAGGCTAAGCCTGCCTTCGTGCCGGCGCCGGTGCCCAGCGGCTCGGCCTGGGCTAAACCGTTGCCGTACACGAACACGGCTGTAGCTCCCTCCCCCGCGATTCGTCCCGTCCCCGCGATACGTCCCTCCCCCGTGATTCGTTCCTCCCCCGCGACCAGCACTCCGACCGCGTCCGACAATCTCGCTCTAGCGATCGACTTTTTTCAGTCGATCAACTTTGAGCGTGTTAATGCTTTGGGTGACGCCATTCGCGCCGCCTCCACTGCACAACACTTCATCGCCGTTGTGCAAGAATACGCTGACGTATACGCGTCGTTAAATACGTACGTCCTCCCCTCACTCCGCCGGTAATCAATGGCGTACATAAGTAGAATAAAGCCCCTATCCGTAACGATAGGATTTTTTAACGCTTACGGTCTCGCAAATCAACGTGATCAGGTTTGTGATTTTTTGCGTGACCATCAAATTGACATCTTTTTGGTGCAGGAGACCCTGCTTAAGCCCGCGCGCCGCGACCCTAAAATCGCGAACTATAACATGGTTAGGAACGACAGGCTCACTGCTCGTGGTGGTGGTACCGTCATTTACTATAGACGAGCCCTGCACTGCGTCCCACTCGACCCCCCCGCGCTTTCTAACATCGAAGCATCAGTATGCCGAATCTCACTGACTGGACACGCGCCGATCGTTATCGCGTCCGTTTATCTTCCACCGGATAAGATCGTTCTAAGCAGTGATATCGAGGCGCTGCTCGGCATGGGAAGCTCTGTCATTCTGGCGGGCGACCTAAATTGTAAACACGTCAGGTGGAACTCACACACCACAACCCCGAATGGCAGGCGGCTTGACGCGTTAGTCGATGATCTCGCCTTCGATATCGTCGCTCCGCTAACCCCGACTCACTACCCGCTAAATATCGCGCATCGCCCGGATATACTCGACATAGCGTTATTAAAAAACGTAACTCTGCGCTTACACTCGATCGAAGTAGTTTCAGAGTTAGATTCAGACCACCGTCCCGTCGTTATGAAGCTCGGTCGCGCTCCCGATTCCGTTCCCGTCACGAGGACTGTGGTGGATTGGCACACGCTGGGCATCAGCCTGGCTGAATCTGATCCACCATCGCTCCCGTTTAACCCGGACTCTATCCCGTCTCCTCAGGATACCGCTGAAGCCATAGACATCTTAACGTCACACATCACCTCGACATTAGATAGGTCATCGAAACAAGTTGTAGCGGAGGACTTCCTTCACCGCTTCAAATTGTCCGACGATATTAGGGAACTCCTTAGAGCTAAGAACGCCTCGATACGCGCCTACGACAGGTATCCTACCGCGGAAAATCGTATTCGAATGCGTGCCCTACAACGCGACGTAAAGTCTCGCATCGCCGAAGTCCGAGATGCCAGATGGTCTGATTTCTTAGAAGGACTCGCGCCCTCCCAAAGGTCTTACTACCGCTTAGCTCGTACTCTCAAATCGGATACGGTAGTAACTATGCCCCCCCTCGTAGGCCCCTCAGGCCGACTCGCGGCGTTCGATGATGACGAAAAAGCAGAGCTGCTGGCCGATACATTGCAAACCCAGTGCACGCCCAGCACTCAATCCGTGGACCCTGTTCATGTAGAATTAGTAGACAGTGAGGTAGAACGCAGAGCCTCCTTGCCACCCTCGGATGCGTTACCACCCGTCACCCCGATGGAAGTTAAAGACTTGATCAAAGACCTACGTCCTCGCAAGGCTCCCGGTTCCGACGGTATATCCAACCGCGTTATTAAACTTCTACCCGTCCAACTCATCGTGATGTTGGCATCTATTTTCAATGCCGCTATGGCGAACTGTATCTTTCCCGCGGTGTGGAAAGAAGCGGACGTTATCGGCATACATAAACCCGGTAAACCAAAAAATCATCCGACGAGCTACCGCCCGATTAGCCTCCTCATGTCTCTAGGCAAACTGTATGAGCGTCTGCTCTACAAACGCCTCAGAGACTTCGTCTCATCCAAGGGCATTCTCATCGATGAACAATTCGGATTCCGTACAAATCACTCATGCGTTCAACAGGTGCACCGCCTCACGGAGCACATTCTTGTGGGGCTTAATCGACCAAAACCGTTATACACGGGAGCTCTCTTCTTCGACGTCGCAAAAGCGTTCGACAAAGTCTGGCACAATGGTTTGATTTTCAAACTATTCAACATGGGCGTGCCGGATAGTCTCGTGCTCATCATACGGGACTTCTTGTCGAACCGCTCTTTTCGATATCGAGTCGAGGGAACCCGCTCCTCCCCACGACCTCTCACAGCTGGAGTCCCGCAAGGCTCTGTCCTCTCACCCCTCCTATTTAGCTTATTCGTCAACGATATTCCCCGGTCGCCGCCGACCCATTTAGCTTTATTCGCCGACGACACGACTGTTTACTATTCTAGTAGAAATAAGTCCCTAATCGCGAAGAAGCTTCAGAGCGCAGCCCTAGCCCTAGGACAGTGGTTCCGAAAATGGCGCATAGACATCAACCCAGCGAAAAGTACTGCGGTGCTATTTCAGAGGGGAAGCTCCACACGGATTTCCTCCCGGATTAGGAGGAGGAATCTCACACCCCCGATTACTCTCTTTAGACAACCCATACCCTGGGCCAGGAAGGTCAAGTACCTGGGCGTTACCCTGGATGCATCGATGACATTCCGCCCGCATATAAAATCAGTCCGTGACCGTGCCGCGTTTATTCTCGGTAGACTCTACCCCATGATCTGTAAGCGGAGTAAAATGTCCCTTCGGAACAAGGTGACACTTTACAAAACTTGCATAAGGCCCGTCATGACTTACGCGAGTGTGGTGTTCGCTCACGCGGCCCGCACACACATAGACACCCTCCAATCCCTACAATCCCGCTTTTGCAGGTTAGCTGTCGGGGCTCCGTGGTTCGTGAGGAACGTTGACCTACACGACGACCTGGGCCTCGAATCAATTCGGAAATACATGAAGTCAGCGTCGGAACGATACTTCGATAAGGCTATGCGTCATGATAATCGCCTTATCGTTGCCGCCGCTGACTACTCCCCGAATCCTGATCATGCAGGAGCCAGTCACCGTCGACGCCCTAGACACGTCCTTACGGATCCATCAGATCCAATAACCTTTGCATTAGATGCCTTCAGCTCTAATACTAGGGGCAGGCTTAGGGACCCCGGTAACCGTACTCGTCGAACTCGACAAAGAGGTCGACGTGCAACCTAACCCATGCATCAGCCCGCTGAGTTTCTCGCCGGATCTTCTCAGCGGGTCTCGATTCCGATCCGGTAGTAGATTCATTCGCGAAACAATTGCTCTTGAGTTGTTAGGTCTCCTTCGGAGGCGCTCGGGCAGTTGTTAGCAAATCCCACCCCTCTTGGCTGAGCCTTTGCTCGCCCACCTGTCCTGGTGAAACTGGAAAGGCCTTCGGGCCACGAGTAAACTTTCAATCATAAAAAAAAAAAAAAAAAAATTGATGATATTCTATGATATATTAATTTTTAATGTCATCAAATTGCTTGATAATATAGAAAGTATTTGCTGAAAAATTTATAATAATTACAGCATATTTTCTTTTAAATATTTATAGTTTATATATTTATACCTGTAAAAAACTTAGAATAAAGTTTTATTAATTTTTTTGATTTGCAAAAAAATCTGTAGCATTTGGGGTACTTAAATTAAATTTACAGGATCGAATATATTTTGTAGGGTAGGAAATTAACAATGCAATTGAAGGCTTTGGACTCTTATCTCAAAGCGGGTGATAATATGCACATTGCGATATGTGTACCTTATTTATTTACAAATAAGTTTTGTGGAAAGTGTACAGTCTCAGACCTGCGACCTCTAATCATTTTAAAAAGCACTGTAATTTGTAACTTAAGAAATAACAAAAATAAAACACTATTATGTAGGTACTTATTTTTGTTAATTGTACTGTCTCTCATATTAGAATTATTTTATTTGATTGCTTTTATTTTTAATAATGCGGTCAAAATGCTTCGTCCAGCTGATTTTAACTATACATTCAGTTGATGCAAAACATTATAGGAACGCTAGTTAAGATTTTTTTATTATTATTAAAAAAAAACGGTTGGTACTTACTTGCAATAAAATTCGCTTATTATAGAAACCGGGCATTAGTCGATTCAAAGTTGATACGGTCTCGCAAAATTCTAGGAATACAATTTAAAATTTATCCCTGCAGAAGTTTTCAGATTTCCATACATCAGATTCATCCATCCGATTAAAATTTAACAAGTCTGAAACTTTAATGCCGTCGCGATAAAAATATTCCATGTATTTTAACATGCACGTCAGTTAATTGTCCTAGATTGAATTGAGCTTTGAATTGTAACTTCAAAACTGTTTTACTGTCCGAGTCGTTTTGTTTTGTTTTATTTGAATGTAACTAAAATTTTCAGTTGTTGGTACGGATATAACTTCACCGGAATATATTGGATCGTACAAGGTCCACGTTTGATCGTTATCTTGGTGAGTGTCAGATTTTGTAGATACGTTTTTAAGCTATTGCATAGCTTTTATCGCGGGCCTTGAGCGCGGCGACCGAATCATGAAATTCCGTAACGAAAAAAACTTTACACCCCTCAGTCCGCCTACCATGTAGCTCGCGTTTAATACATTCACACGTTGCGCTTGTGTAGTGTTTGTGAATAAGCGCTTGGCGTGACGTCACACTGCGTGCGCATCATGAAAAGTCTGCCCATCTCTTTCTCGCGCGGTCTAGCTTATGAGTGTGAGGGGGACAGTTAAGGTTTTGCTTTTATTAATGTTTTTATATAGCGTGATCTTGTTTTATTATTGTTTTAATATTAAATTATTATTGTCTAATTATAATTGCATAAGTTGATAAAAAATGCTATGCAATAGCTTTACCGCGGCAGTTCCCGAGTGCCACACGTTTGTTTTTTTTATTTTATTTTATAATCCTTTCACCGTAGAAACACATACAGAAACAGAAGTTGAGAACCAATTCTAATCTAAGCGTATCTTAACTTTGTCAATCAAAATGATAGTGTTCATATCATCTTTCTAACTTGCACGTTTGAATTTAAATTAGACGCGTTTGAGTATCCTAGTTTTAAACAAGACAAACACTAACTAGTAGTGCTTCTGTTTTCAATATTAAAGTGCTTAATATGCTTGATGCTCATACAAAATGTACTGATGATCTATAACGAAATAAAAAAAAACGTCTTTGTGTTCTTGCAGATCAACTTTGTATTTTTACTGAACATTCTAAGGGTTCTTATAATGAAACTCAGCAAATCTGCACGTCGCGAAATCGTTAAAGTCAGGTTCGTTAATTTCGCTTTCGTTAAATTGCATGCAAGTGGAGTTTAGGAGATTAATCAAAACTGTTTTGTAATTATGCAGTGTATTACAATCAATTAAATTGTATCGGATGAGATCTATACGATATTTTTAATGATAGTAAAATACTAATAATTGACTGATAAATTGTCAATCGATATTTGAGTCGACTATTATCAAAGGCGGCAATCTGACTTTTGGACAATGATTAGTAAATCAGAAAAACGAATTATTGACTTTGTATTCCATCGGCAGTCACAAAACTCTTCGGAACGACATCTTAGATAAATAACAGGTTAACTATTAACCTTTATTTAATGCAGGTTTTGAACCGTATTCTTTGAAGGAGATGATTATATTCAAATCAATCTGTATTGACATATCAATCAAAATTTTTTGTCCAAATGCACAGATTGCCACCTTTGATAATAGACGACTCATTTGTAAGGCGATATTACTCAACATTTCGATTGATTGGTGTTGGTTTTTTTTTTCGAATCTGTGTAAGTATTTCGAGGAAACATCGTGGGCTATTAAAACAAAAAAACAAAAAAACGAGTTTTATAGATTTTTCTTAGCTGATGAATATTTTCGGAGGTAGTCCCGAGAGCATAACGTAGACTAATGTGACTTGTTTCTAACAGGAAAGCGGTGCGGGCGGCTCTGGTACTCTTACCTCTGCTAGGAATTACAAACATTATGAATATGTTCGAAGCTCCTCTGAGCTCTGATCCGATCCGGTTTGCCGTATGGAGTTACTTAACACATTTCTTAAGATCTTTTCAAGGCTTCTTCATCGCGCTAATATACTGTTTCTTAAACGGCGAGGTGAGCACGGTTCAGTATAAAGGATTGTGGTTCCTTTTTTTTGTATTATACAAATAAAATAGATCAGCGGTTTTTAGAACTGGTTTCTTAGAGCTCTTGCTTTAAGAACTAAAATGTGTGTAAATTTGTGTTAATTTTTTATCTCAAGATTTAATTCTTTATATTTATGTAGACGTCTATGGTTTCCGGTAGCTGCTTAACGCGAGATGGGACATAAGGTCATCCTGCTCATTTTAGATCAGAAGGAACATGTGATTGCGTAAACTACTTCGATAATTGACTTGGTGATTTTATGACGTTCAATTAAACATGAAACGATTAAAAATCATTAATTACATTACAAAATCGCGATTGGAACTAAATAAAATAAAAAAAATGGTCTATTTCTGTTTACCGTGTAAATTTTATGTTATCTATGTACCTATGCAATCATTTATTTATTTATTTATTTAGTGAAACCTAGTTATAACTTTAGATTTTGCTAATAAAGGTCATTGATAATTAATATATCGTCGATACATATTAAGTGCAATAAAGCTGATACGGTTGTTGCGAGCACCAAACCAACTGATTCTTTGATACCTCATTCCAAAATTTTGATTGAAATGGAAATTACACGTAATAGTTTGCGATAGCTTAAACATGTTACCTAAGTTTTTTTAAACGTTTTTTCTACGTGATTTTTAATTTACTTCTAATTGCATAATAATATTTGACAGAATGTATTTTCACAGGATGATTAGCAGTTTTTTTTTTACCAAATATTACTTGAATGTTTACATAATGTTCATCAGTAATAATTAGGTATAACAAAATATCTCTTTTATGTGCTATTTTATTCTCTTATATATATTTAGCTTCGTTGCTCGCTTGAAAATACTAATCGCTTTCAAATTATAAATGGTAAAATATATTTGAAAGAAATTTGCGGTTTATATTATGTACAGATATCGTTAAATTTAAGTTTTTGTATAGAGGGTCCTATGCCCAGCAGAGGATATCGAAAGGCTGACGATGAATTACTTGTAATTTAAAATGTACAGAAATTTCCATCAAATAGGTTTGTAAAATAAAATTAAGTAAATTTAAAAAATGGTTAAAAAAGCATTCGTCGAGTAAGTTTAAAATTTAAAACGCATTTTTTATATTGCCCATTGCTAGTAGACATATTTCTAATCAATTGATTCTTTGAATTCAGCAATATTAGTGTTATATAACTTGTTTCTACTGATCAATTAAGAATATACTTAGGCATATAGTATCACTTTCAAATATACATAATATGTATGTTATGTACAATAATATTATTATATGTCACTTAATGTGCAGTTTATGAAATATTATGTAAGACGTATTTTATCGATTTCGTGATGTGTCAAGTTTTTTTCTTTCTATTAGGTGAAGCAGTGCCTGTCGAAGGCATACACCAACTACATGGCGGAGAGGGCACTCCTGGTTCGGCAGAATGCCATTTGTGTACCATCTATGTAAGTTTTTTATTTTTACAAACCAGTAAGAATTAAAATCGATTTAAGGAGTTCTAACAACAGCAATGAAATACAGTGAAAGATAAACTGTAGTCGTATTAGGAAAAAAACTTTTTGTTCAAGTAGAGTCAATGAAAACAATAAATTTGCCAAAAATGTGCTGTTTTTAGAGAAAATACTTTAAGTATATTGTTATAGGGATGAAGAGCCAGCTAAAGAAAAAAAGGCAAGCTATCTGTCTTGCTGCTTCCCAAGCAAGACTGAAAAGCGAACAAGCAAAGACTACCGGGCTTGTGCTTTGGATTTAAACAAGTAAGTGAAATAAATAAAAGCATCTGAAGACAATATAGAGAAGAAAAAATGCAAAGAAAAAGTTGTGTTGTCTAAGAACAACAGTCCTGCCTAATTTGATCGTGAAGCAGTAATGCATTCCTCCTGTTCGAGACGTCGAACAGCTATCAATCGCCTTGTTTCTAAGGGTTGGTTTTTGAATACATTTTTTTTATTGCCCTTACAGGCAGACTAGCGTACGGCCCACCCTATGGTTAGTGGTTACCGTCGCCCATGGACTTCAGTAGTGCCAGGGGTAGAGCCAAGCCGCTGCCTACCGCTAAATACTCTCCACAAGCCTCGTTTGAAGAAGCACATGTCATAGCGCTCGGGAAACACCGTGGTGGGAGCTTATTCCATAGCCGGATGGTACGTGGTAAAAAAGACCTCTGGAAACGCACTGGCTCCAGGTAGTTTGGATGAACTCTACTCCGGTGACGGGCGGGGCAATGGTAAAAGCGAGATGTCGGTATCATCTCGAACAATTCCTCAGAGCACTCCCCATGTTTTCATTCAGGTTTTGATATTTATGGACTCCCATAACCACATAATACTATGTGGGCAACTCGTTCACTTGGCTGAGCAGTATGACGATTCATCAACAACAACACAATGGCTACAACAGCTAGTTCTTGCAGCCGAATTGTCTGATGTTTGGTTTGGGTGTAACGCCAGAGCTGTTTAAGTGTATATGAGTGTCAGAAATAGGACATCAGTAACGTTATGACGAAAATCTGTCTTGCGTTGTACCTTTTATCCAATGTAGAGCGGTTTACACACCTTGGCCATCGTTACCATAGTCAGCCTGATTAACAAAGCGGTTTGATGTAGATACAATATTTCGCGTACGTACGTACGTAAAAGGAAATCAGTACGAAGTCAATTTATTTAATTTTATTACACTTCATGTAAAATTAACATTGGCGGACTTAATGCTTAAGGCATTCTCTGCCAGTCAGTTAAAGGTAGTGCCGAGTAAATAGGGGTAGGTCCAATGAAATTTCTATTAAATTACAAATACATATATAAAGTATATATATATTTACATCATACTATCTTTTTGGCGTCAAGCACATCGTGCATCTTTACGACGTCCTCCAGTTCCCATTGCTTTTTTTAACATGTCTTAATGAATATTGCTTAGTTTTTCGATTGCCAGCTCCGTGAGATACGTCATTTTCCGATAATTTTATTTTTCGCGATATTCTTGTACTTTTACAATAAAAAATAATAAAAAATCTATAGCAAATAACATTTATTACTTTTACAGTGTGTTAGTTTAATACATAAATATAAAACAATTTAAAGTATAAAAAGCTTATTCGAAGTGGTCTCCATTGGCTGTAATAGTCTTTTAAACGTGTTGTTAAGGGGCTTCACTACTTTCTCAGAAATGGTATCTTGATACACTTGTGTCGATGTTTTGATACCTTTTTCACAAAAGTATGGCTCAGTCACTCCTTCATAGCTAATACCCCACCAAACCATCACTGAAGTCGGATAGTGCCCACGCTGCACTCTGTCGACTAATTGGGAAGCTTCCTTAGAGCTTTGAGCATAAATACGGTCATTTTGTTTGTTAAAATGTTGCCCAATTGTAAAAAAATTCTCATCCGTAAACAAAATTTTTCTATGACCTCCCTTTGCGTACCGCTTCAGTAGTTGTTTCGATTTTACCACCCTATTCTCTTTTAAATTATCAGTTAGGAAATGACCAGTACGTCTCTTATAGGCTGCAAGTCCTGAGTCATCTTTTAAAATACGCGACATGGTTCTAGGTGCTATCTTCATCTCCCGAGATAAAATCTTTTGCTTTCGGACAGGATTTCTTCGAATTCTTTCCCTTACTGCTTTGACCACCTTTTTCGTACGAACACTACATGGACGGCCAGATCTTTTTCTGTTACAAACAGAGGAGGTCTCATTGCACCTATTAATAGCCCAAAAATTGCATTTGGCTCCATACCTACTTTGTGTAATGCAATCACAGCGATTCGGTTCTCTTTATCACCCCGCTCCATTTTAATATCGCAAAATATGGTACATTGTATTGGCGCCAAAATGAGAATACTCAATGAGCAATCATATAAAAATGACAGATTCCAAATTCAAATGTAATATTTTGTTTATTTTTAATTGTAACAGTATTTATGGCCAGACTAAGTATATATATATATACATATATTATAACATCAATCGCTTCGTTTAAGCGGCGAGTCTATTTGACTAAATTGTGGTAAGGAAGTATATTGTTATAGGGATGAAGAGCCAGCTAAAGAAAAAAAGGCAAGCTGTCTGTCTTTCTGCTTCCCAAGCAAGACTGAAAAGCGAACAAGCAAAGACTATCGGGCTGGTGCTTTGGATTTCAACAAGTAAGTGATATAAATAAAAGCATCTGAAGACAATATAGAGAAGAAAAAATGCAAAGAAAAAGTTGTGTTGTCTAAGAACAACAGTCCTGCCTAATTTGATCGTGAAGCAGTAATGCATTCCTGTTCGAGACGTCGAATAGCTATCAATCGCCTTGTTTCTTGTTTAATATAATACCTACACAACTATATATATATGTCGGCTCACGTCAGGGATGGCTGAGCACTCGTAGTCGATTGAACTCAGTTTAGTCAATAAAATTTTTCAATAATAATTATTGAAACTCAACACACACAACTTTCACAATGACAGGGTAAACCGACAGTTTCGTTGCACATACCGACAGACCGACTGACTGACTGACAGAGACTCACTCACTGAGACGGACAGAATTACTGTCTGACACGGAATTGCCACGACTCTGTCCACGTACCGCCATTTTATACTGTGGCGTTACGGAGTCTACCCTTCATTTTGTGATATTTATCAAAATAACATTTCATCATTTAAAATAATAATCAAAACCACCGTCTTAATATTACTAAAAGTCGTTATCCACGACACGGCCATTCTGACATGTCACACGTCCCTGTGTGACGCTCCTGCAAGGAAAACAACCTTCTGCAATATCTAACAGGTTTCGTCTCGGCCACTCCTGATACATTCATACATGAGGATTGGGATTCGTTTCATTACAAACCATAACGTTAGCTTTCAACAAGATCTTTAA